AGATACAATATGTGAATGGAGTGATTTTAGAATGCTGGACAGGCACATTTATAATCTTTACAACTCAGACTGTTTCCTGCCTTTATGTTTCGTTAAAGGCCTTCATTGACTGTGCATAGTTTAGATCTTCTCATCTACCTCCGAAACAGTCTACTCACAAAGAATCCTAAAGTAAACATGTGAAATGCTGTTTGGAATTTGTCATCAACACTAGTCAAAAACAAATCATTGAGTTAAAGACGAGAAAAGATCCAAATTTAACCCAGTCTTTATCCTGTTTGCTTTATGCTTTCCTATAAGAAACTTATAGGAAAGCAACCCCTGATATTTTCCTTTTTGTACAAAAGTCCAGTTAGTCTTCTTCAATGATTATTTTGTTAAAAGTGACAACATAAGGACACGTCTTTGCCATAAGGACACCTGTACAAATCCAGTGTGACAAAAATGTCTTTTTGGGCAGCTTTGGGCAGTATGTTTCTGGCTCGCAGTAACCATCAACCACCTGCATGCTTTGCTCACTGCGTGGGAAAAAGTGATAAGAGTGCAGATGTTCTGTGGGTTCTGTGGACCCTCAATGACATCTGATGTGGAAGAAACTATAAACTATAAAACCAGGGGGGCTCTGCATGGCTTTTGGGAGATTAAAACAGCTCAATGAGTATAAGACTAAAGATAAAGAATAACATGCATGAACATAGTTTGCTTACCATGATTGTAAAGCATTTCTAATAGAACGATTGCACAAACGGGTTAAGAAAACTCAAACACAGGAAGGCACTGCTCCCCTGTTGAAATGCATCATTGTCTTGTCCAAAGTGAGAAAACCTTCAAGTGGATTTAATGGGTTACATATTGATGGTTAGAGCTCAGGAGAAATCACTCAAAGGTAGGAATTAGTCGTTAAAATGTGGGCCTATTTGGGTATCGCTCTGGCCCTTGCTGTTAATGCAACAGATATTAAAAATGGCACCGCGGTTGAAGAAAAGCTTGTGATAGCCAGAGGGAAACTGATGGTGAGTAAAAAAATAAAAACCGATGTCAACTTTTGAATCTCTTTAAAATGTTACATTTTCATGATTTTGAATTTTCAGGAGACTGTTTAAATATAAGAAATTAAGTGTACAAAATTCTGGATGTTAAATCAATACTTCACTAAAAAGCCAAACACCTTTTTGACTAGAACACTCTTAACTTTCATCATTATAACATTCTCTAAAAAAGTGATGTATTCATCTTTAGAACCCGAGGAGAAACCTGGAAGAAAATTGAATCTGGATTTGTCAGCGAAGATGTGCATGGTCTTCCTCTATTTGAATAAAAACATTATAAATTTAGCAGACAATGATATTAGATCCACCACTACAGGGGGCTGTGAGATGCGATATAGGTGCACCACACTTAGGGGGTCTAAATTTGATTAGACTACCCGTTGGTGTCTACATACATTGGTGTCTACATAGCCCACACCAGACAATCAGTCAATCAATCTTTAGTTGTCTAACAAATTGTTATCTCAAGTCACTTTACAAGTCAAGCCTAGACCATTCTATTTGTTATAAAAATTGACAAAGACCCAATATTAACCCACTGTGAGCACAGCATTTGGCAACATTTAACAAGTGTGCTGGGTAACTCGGGACCCCAGCTGTAAGCTTTATCAAAAAGGATAGTTTTGAGCCTACTCTTAAAAGGTAGAGAGGGTGCCTGCCTGCCAGAACTTGACGGGTGTATGATTCCAAAGGAGAGGGGCTCTACCTCCCATATTACTTTTAGGGACTTATGGCACTACAAGCAGGCCTTCTGGGGGTGTAATGTTCTAGCACTCTCCAACAGCCTTTTAGGAAAATCAGAGTTGTCATACTTTTTATCTTCAAATGAATCTCGGTTTATTTTTGTTTTTGTAAATCTGTATTTCTATATATTTTTATATCGTGTATTCTATTACTTCTATTACTTACCCCAAGTGTTCTGTTTATGTTACCATACAAAGACAATGGATCAAATAAGCATTCTCGCTAAATTCAAATAGTTCATTTTTTTGCTGACTTTCATCAAGATGCTCTGTCCCTATACACTAAACAGATACATAAGCAATACGCTCAGTACCTGAAATTAAAGGAAGGCCTCCACATGAAAAGAGGACAATGGAGACAGTTAAAATAGGAGTTAGTGAGCAAATGGGGGATTGGTTAAGAAGACGGGTAAGCTGTGTACTGTCATATGTGTGTGTATCCTGAGATACCAATCCTATTTCTGGCCACTTTGATCACTTTGATCATCATTATTTGTCATGCTGTTTCAACTGTGTTGTTGTCCCTGCAGGCTCCCAGTGTGGTCGGATGAGGCATAAAGAAAATGCCAGAGCTCCATCATTTCCTCCTGGAGCGCTCGGCTTTATAGTATCCTTATGCTCTTGTGTTGGTAAAACCTTACTTCTCCTTAACAGAAAAAAAACCGCCACAGACTTTCTCATGACCTCTTTCATAAACAAAACAATGTTCTCAGCAAGTTGCCAAATCTGTTGCCAGCTCTGAGAGCTTTCCAAAAAACTCTCCTGGTCCAAGTTGAAATCATGTTTGTGAGTGAGTTTAAAAATAGCCAAGCAGATGGAAGTGCTTTCATTCTCCACTGTTTACCTGTTGTTCCCCTTGATCCCTTGTTTCCCGCGTTCAGCCACAATTTGGAGTACGATTCATCGGAGGAGAAGAATCCCCGTCTGATCTTCTATAATGAAAAAGATGAGGTGGTAAAGGTGAGACGAGAGTTTGGGGATCTTTTCCTCTCCTGCTTTGCGCTGGAGTTTATCTGTGGAGAGCCAGAAAGACGAGACACATTCATGTGGGCAGCTTTTTAAGACTTTCTGTATCTGATGTCACGTCCTCTGTCAGATAAAAAGTCAAGACTGAGTGTATTTGAGAATGTGAGACAGAGTAAAAAAAAAAAACACAAATGGTGAGAAAGAAGGAGTCAGAGAGTGTATATATCAGGGCTTCTGACAGCTGAAAAATATGTTTTAGTGCTGAAACTGGATACTTGGTATGAATACTGATATGAGAAAGAACACTTTTATGCCTTTAAATTACAACTCTTAAGAGTTTCCCACGGGCTTTGTTCCCCCCCTACATCTTGGGACGGCTCCTAAACCTTCATTTAGACCATGAAACTGACAATAAAAGTCTTGCTTTTCCTAAGTGTCTCTTCCAAATGCACAAGAGCGCCTTTTGTGATTGTGAAGTAAAAGTATTTCTTCTCTTCTGATTGTTCCCCCCTTCTGAAGCTCATGTGGGAATTTGTCTTTGTCAAATTCAGTGCCTTGCGTTAGCTGTTTTCATTTATTGTTTCATAATGTGGGAGCCGTGGGACTGCAATTTGACTTTAAATGAAGAATTACCTCAGAGGCAAAGTTACTGAGCTAAGACATGAAAACAAATGTGTCACAGCAGTGTACAAGTTTTAATAAATATCAAATTCTTGTGAAACCAAATTGATTTATCATAAACTAATATGAATCAGAACACACTGTTTGTCTACAAATACACACTTTTCTGCACACACTGAATTTTAAAGTGCTGCTTTCAACGTTGTGTGTTTGTATTTGTGTGTCTTCTCTGGACACGTCAGACTGTTCCAGTGAAGAAGATGAAGGCAGACGAGATCAGCAGCCTGTTAGAATCACTCGGTTTCTACAAGAGGTCCCAGAAAGGGGAAGAGGTGCCAGAGGAGTTCCAGCACTTCCCCCTGCGTGCTATCAAGGACGAGCTGTGATGACACCCTGTGGCCAAACATCGCTACTGCACCAAGGCCGCATTAATGACGAGTGGCGCTCCAAGGCCTTGACATGAAGCCAGGCACCATTCTGAAGAGTCGCTGGCCGTGTGCAGCGTGCAGTGTTAGTCATTGCTGTGTCACTGTGTTCATATGCTAGATTAAAATTTAAAGGCTGTAAAATACAAATAAAATGATAATGACTGTGTGGATTAATCCATTTAGTGTGCCTGCTTTCATACATTCTATACCGTTATGGTATATGGAAAACAAAGCAGAACATAGGGAATGTTTACGCAGAAATCTAAATGACATTTATCCATACAGGGCGACAGCTTTACAGGTGTTTAAATTAATTAATTTCTGTATTTGAAAAGTCACCTTGTAAATGAATCAACATTAAACACATGTTTATGTAACTGGGTAATCTAAAGACTAATTTATTCAGTAGTGTCTTTGCATGAAGTTGTCAGTCATCATTCGTAAGTAAGGAAGAAGGGGGCTAAAAGATAATAAAAAAGATTGCAAAAAAATGTTTTTCAAGATTGATGAAAGGATATTTATCTTTTTTTTCTTAGTTTGACAGAAACAATGTAGCCGACATAAATCAGATACAAAACAGATCACACCCAACAAGTATGCCAAAAGGTTGATTTTCCATTGATAGCTGTTTTACATTGTGTTGTCAAGTTTTTATTGTAAAAGGGACACTCAACATCTAAAAGATACACAGTAAAATCAGCAGTGTTGATACAACACTTAAAGAGTCAATTTTAAGAGTCAGTGAACATATGGTCCCTATCTACAGTGTTAAAGTAACACTCAACATAGTGTTGAACTTTCAGAGTCAATTCAACTCTCTTAAGAGTTAATATTCTACACTGAGAAGTGTTAATCAAGTTTTACACTACGAGGGAAATAACACCCCTAGTGTAACTTACATTTGACACTTAAGGAATTAAGTGTTAATCATAATTTACTCTTCTAAATCAACTCCTTGAGTGTTAAAACTACATCACACTCAGTGTTGATTAAGAAATTATTCTCAAAACTTTATTTTTTAAATGACTCCTGCCAGTGTCAAAATATAACTGCTTTTTCACTCCCTTTAAGTGTAATTCTTAAATACAATTCAATTGCATGTCTTTCCATGCCCAAGTAAGACTTAAACAACAACACACAATTATATCAATTTCTAATAGAAATTTATTAAACACAAACATTAAATCCCAAGGTTTAATCAATTTAAAATAAGTGTCAATTTTCTTTTTTCATGTGCAATAGCATTCTGACAATGCGTTACATCACAACATGTAAACATTTTTAACAAAAAAACAAAAAGGTATTTTCAGACAACACAGGGAGGATACAAGACAGCAGGATTACCTCAGCCAGTCAACAACTGTTTATTTCCTGAATGGTGACTATCAATACAATGACTGACTTTTTATCAAGTATTTCAGTTGGAGTTTAGAAAGAAAACTTCACAACAGCCAGATTATTTGGCTATCTTACTGGAGTCATCCTGCTACTTTAAATATCCTCCAGAGAAAATGTCTGCTATGTAAACACCTGGAAACATGTGGACAACTCCACTACAGAAATACAAAAACGCTGTCAACATTGCTTTGACACTAAACACACTGTTTAAAGCTGCATTTAATGACAATATGGAACTACAAAAAGGGAGGAATCTGTTGGTCCATATGACATCTGCACATCAACTGGTTTGAAGTAGAAAAACTCTTGAACATCAGACACCGTAAGCGCCTGGAATGGCTTTAACAAGACTTTAAATGCATGGTAATGTTGTTGTGAAGCATGTGATTGTAATTGGTACCAAATACGTAGTGTACCTTGAAGAAGTTCATCAAAAGCTCCAAGAGAACTGGTTGACTTGCATGGTATGACCTGTTTGTCCAGGACGATGAAAAACTCATGGATGGTGCTTCTTTTCATCGTGACGGCAAGTAGATAGGGCTGAGTGATGCTCTTGATAGGGTCAACATGTTCCTGGAGGCTTGTTCCACTCTGAAGATATAAAAATGTGTTTAGATTTAGATTAAATGCTTGAATTAGATTTAATAGGTTTAAATATCTTGTTAGGTCTTAGAATGATCACTTAAGGTACAGTATATAAAAAGGTGTAAGATATGAGATAATTTAAGCTACGTTTTTGATGTAATCTACTTTTACACAAGAAACAATTTTATACATGAGATACAAACAGAAAAGAAAAATGGACAAGCAAAAATAAAAAAAAAAACTTAGTCATAATAAAAGCTACAATACAAACCTTCTTGAAGATGACGAGATGCTTCTCAGCTTGAGATGCAGACACCTCGCCTGGTCTTTTATGGCCTTGGGCTCAAGGTGGAATCAAGTGGAGGAGGAGGAGGATAATGGAGGAAAGATCACTGTCCCATCCTGTTAACAGAAACAAATTAGCTTAATTTTATATGTTTTTCTAAGCTACAATTCAAAAACATTGCTTTAAAGCTACAGCTGAAAAATTAAATAAATCTACCAGAGGCAAGGGTGTCATCCATTTCCTCTTCATCTGATGCAGCTTCTGCACAATAGATCAGCTCTGCAAGGTCACATGAGGCAGGAAGAGACTTACTCTGCTGTCATTGCAGCTTCAACTACCTGTAAAAAAGGAACAGACAATAGTCATTTAGAATAAAATAATCTTGGACAATTGACAGTAAACACACCTAATAAAATTAACAATCAAAAAAAGGGCGACCCCTAAAGGAAGCTGTAACTTACATTCTTACATAATCATTGTCTACTTATGTAAGAAAATATATATAATTATTGTTTTCTCCAAGAAAACTGTTTTTTTTTTAAATTGTGAACACCTTATTTTGAAAAACGGAAGTTACCGCAGACTCGCAGAATTATTCTCACACTAACTTCCCCGACCTCCGAAGCTATTCTCTGTACTGTATTCTGTTTACTCCCGTTTCATACACGTGTATCTCATAGCCAGTTTAATGTAAGACCTAGGCATTTAGCACTCCACGTCATCGCTCTCTCTGTCTGTTCCTCCTGCTCGCTCGGCAGTCCGGAGCATTTACCGTAAAGATCAGAATACGTGGGCACTTCACATTTAGGGGCGGGTCACGTCACCACGTAAACTCGAGGAGCGGCTGGCTTGACCGCAGTGACGAATCGGTGACGTCGTACCTAATAACAGATGCGACTTTGATAATTTACACACGCTTTTTTTAAATTAATTGTGTCTATAACAACAACTGTTGTAGCGTTACATTAACAAACAACACTTTTAAGTTAAATTAAAACACAATGCTGTCACACATTAAGCAGGGCTGCATAACATTTAGCGTTAGCGTTCACGTAACGCCACTCTGAGGAATTAATATTCGGCTTAACAAGCCAAAGTGAACCAATATAATTCAGTAACAAATTGTATGTGTGGGCGCTCATGTTTACGGTCGTGTTCACCTCGTACTACCCGCGCAAGCAAACGTTTAACTTGGGATTCATGGTCGAGCTCACCTTGGCTAGTTTAGTCCCCACACGTGCAGTATCAGCTAATTGACTTGACTGTGTGGCTTTCCAAATAATAAAGCCCACTCATCTCTCCCCATTAACATCATTTACGTTACTTCTTGCTGATATTGTCGAGTTTGGCTTTAGTTAGTGCATATAAGTAGTATTATTATCAGTACTAATATTATCACTTGCACATTTAAACTAGCCATCCACTCGGTAAACTCGGTTCTTTTAAATTCCGTACACTAAGACCCAATATTCAGGTGGAGTGTATATTGAACATAAATATTAAGACATCCTAAAACACTGCTTGTGTTGAAATTGAAAATTGGTTATTAATTGGGAGCAGCTTACCGCAGTCTTTCAGTCAGTGAACCTCCTGGTGGATTTGAAACACGAGTAGTGGGCGTGGCTTCTCAGAGTACGTCATGGCTTTCAGAGTGATTTACTTTCAACACCATGGCCTACTGGAGTACTTTTTTTTTTTTTACTCTGCGTTTTTAACTCCACAATTTTGCACCAACACTGGGGTGCATGTTACTCAAGCTGTTGTTAGAATAACTCTGACAGAGCATCAGAACTTTATGACTGCATATTTAACACTGCTGATTTTACTGTGTACAAATACGCCGGTGTTAGCTCTACGGCTTATTCTAATGGTCAGTCCCTTTGCATCAAATCGTCAGCCATACCAAAAAAAAAAAATCAAAATGAGGAAAAATGTAATAACATTGTGTGAAGAAATAATTAAAATATGATAGTGCAACCATTATGTATTGTTCAGGTTTTATGTTGTCCTCTGTTTAATCTCTGTGAAGCCTACATTTCTGTCAAATTCTATAATTAGATAAGCATATTGACTGAGCATCATAAATGGCCTCTTAGTTCCTCACAAACTGCCATCCTGCTGCCTCATCCTAATCCAGCCCCCCCCCCCACCGCCTACACACACACACACACACGCACACGCACACACACACACACACACACACACACACACACACTATAATCTGATTAGCAGCGGTGTCTGCCAGCATGCGTCTGTGTGTGTCCATTTGTATCTGTGCCTTCGTGCATTTGTCTCCTTGTGTGATTGAACACACAGCGAGGATTAGCAGCAGAGTCTGAGGCACAAGCCGAGTTTTGGACTCTAGCGTTTCCTGATTCTTTGGCTTGGTCATGGTCAGCTGCTTTACCCACCATGCCTGTGTTTTACTCACCTGTTCCAGAGAACCTGCAGTTGGGCCTGAGCTACATGGGAGGCTCAGTGTTCACCAACAACAGGACGGCAGACAGCGACTTCAGCAGGGAGCAGGAGGACGCCAATGGTTGGTTATTTACTAGAGTGCTGCTCTACAATGATATAGATTTGTGATCACAGAGAGGGAATATATCTGCTTATTTATAACCAAAACCAAACAGTGATATCAAATAACTGACAGTGAGGGGTAAACATAATTACGTGACCACTACTCAAATCTGCTTTGAAAACATCAACATTGTATTAACAGTTGATAATGAGAGGGGACAGAGTTGGATGTTGTAAGCAAAGGCTTTGTTATTCATAGTGTAATGTAAATTTATATTATGCTGCATTAAAAACGACATGGAAATGAACTGATTTCCTGATTTTAGCTGAATATTGCTTTATTTGAATTAAATTTAAAATTAGTTCCTATTTGATCTATGTACATTTTTCTGCATTATCTCTAATTGTGTTCTATATTATTATTAATAATAATAATAATAATAATAATAATAACTTTATTTATATAGCACCTTTTAAAAACACAGGTTTACAAAGTGCTTTGACAAACAGCAAGAACAAAGCAAACTAAACCAAACACAGAAAAACATTAACAACAGTAAGAATATAACAGATGCAAAATACCAAAAATAATTAAATACAATTCAACAGAAAAGAACCCAAAGTGCACGATACACAACCAGACATATATAACCCAACCATCACAAGAACCATCATAAGAACCATCATAAGAACCCAAGAACACAAGAACCCAACAACACGAGCTGAGACCAAGAGGACCAAAGATTTAAAAAGATGTAAGAAACTAAGAGATAAAAGCAAATAAAAAGCAATGAGAAGGTAAGCGCAGTAAAAGAAATAAAAACAAGTGGTTAAAGGATCAAAAAACCCAAAACTATAATATTAATACAAATGAAAATTAACTATAAATACGAAACATAAATAGACAAAGTAAGTAAGATAAGAAATTACCAAGTTAAAACACAAGAGGAGATTAAGATATGAGCATAAATACGAGATAAGACCATAAATAAAAGACAGTAAGAAGTAGAAGAAGATAAAAATAGTAAAACCAGTAAGAAAGACATTAAGAAGACGACATCACATAAAAGCAAGTCTGTAAAAGTATGTTTTAAGAAGGGATTTAAAAGAATTGAGGGAATCTGCAAGTCTTATCTCCTCAGGAAGGTCGTTCCAAAGTCGAGGGGCCCTGACTGAAAAGGCCGGTCACCTTTAGTTTTAAGTCTCGACTTTGGAACGACCAGGAGGCCCCCACCTGAGGATCTAAGACTGCAGGCTGGCTCATATGGTGTCAGTAACTCTGTTATATAGCTTGGAGCCAGCCCCGTCCGTGCTTTAAAAGTAATGAGTAAAATCTTAAAATCGATTCTAAAACGTACAAGAAGCCAATGTAATGAAGCTAAAATTGGAGTGATGTGATGTCGTCTGTTACAACCAGTAAGAAGCCTAGCTGCTGCATTTTGGACCAGCTGGAGGCGAGACAGTGACTTATTTGTGATTCTGGAAAAGAGGGAGTTACAGTACATATTACATTATTACATATTAAGATCATGTCTAATAAAAAACAAACTAACCTATCTGTGGAGGTGAGTTTTTTTTAAAGAAAAAAAAAACACTTGATTGTTCATGATAATGAAACATGTTACTAATAAAAATATGTGATTGTCTTTGCCTTGCAGTGGTCAACGAGCTTGTTTCTCATCTTCCCCTGCAGATGATGCTCTACTTCAACATGTTCTATTTTCCCTGCTGGTGGTTTTCTGCTGTTTTCATGTTGGAAGTGAAGGTGAGTTTGGAGTCCCCACAAAAGGAAAAAAAAATAATGTTTCTTATCTGTCCTGGATTCACACTGACTTATTAAAGGGGTAGCCTAGATCAGTGGTTCTCAACTGGTCAGGACCCACCAGCTCCTTAATAGAAAATCACAACCTAAATTTCTCATTTTTTAACCAATGAGATTCGTTTTATGAAAAATGGTGCCATTTGAACTTCAGACTGTCCAAACAAATGATAGAACAAAGAGATGAAACAAAACCAAAAAGTGAGTTTTAGACTTTTTAACACTTTTTTTTTTCAAGGCCCACAGTCGCAACCCCCTGAAAACGACTCCAAGACCCACTTCTGGGTCCCAACCCACCAGTTGAGAACCACTGGCCTAGATGACATACAATCACATTATTAGGTTCATTGTACAATTTTGATACGTCTTTGTTTATAATATTTTACTTTACTCCCAGTTCTATTATCTTCCGGGGTACTACCAGGCTCTGCTCATCACTGGTATGATCCTCCTCACAGTCATTGAGGTGGTCCGGCTTTATCTCGGCTACATTGGCAACCTTAAAGAGAAGGTAAGTTAAACCTAGATCCTGTCCGAGGCACAATGCAGAGCTCTATCAGCACTCCTGAATAACACAAGGGGCTGCTTTAGTATCATGTGCAACCACTCTGCTGGCTACAATGGTCTATAGGGTTTTTGTGAATGAGTTTGGATGTAAAGGTGTGTTAAATTAACATTACTATGCTTTGATTTTGATCAAAATATTAGCAGCATCTGCATTATATTTGGGGGCGGCATGTAGCTCAGTCTGAAGGAACTAAGGGCACATCAACATATGGAAGTTGGTCTATTTCTGGAGGGGTGCCAGGTCACTTCCCAAGTACTGTCGAGTTGCCCTTGAGTAAGGCACAGAATCCCCAACAGCTCGGCCGCGCTCCCTGCGTAGCAATAGCAGCCCCACTCTGACATCTCCCCATTAATGCATGTCTACAGGTCCTTTTTGTGTCAGTATTTCAGGCCTATGTGTGTGAGAGCCATGTCTCTCAATAACAGAGGGTAAACCAGCTATTTCCTCAGAGATTAATAAAGTATGTGAAATATATATATATTTTTTAAATCAGACAATCAACAGTGAAAACCCAGAGGCTATATTTTAAGCTTAAACGACATATTTGATGACCCATGTATTCCCTCAGACAACAGATAATGTAAGCATTCAGCCAACTCCTTGCTTATATCACTTTTAGCCAGAAAGCAGAGGAATGCTAATATTTTTTTTTTTAGAGAATTTGAGGCAGTGTTTAGATTTGAAAAAAAAACACAGCATATTTGACGTGCATACATTATGCTAATTCCTAACATTACGCTAAGCTACTAAGTAGTAGATTTCTAAGATAACATTTTAAAGTGTTTTAGGGTAAATAAGTAGTCAAAAAAACTGCATATAGCTTATTTGCTTCAGACATCATCTAACCTTATCAAATTGTGTCACTTCCTCTACCATTAGTTTACACTTTTCCTGTTGTACATTTAGGCATTTCAACTGTGATATTAGCCATTAGCCAACTTATGTAGTTCAGCTGTTGTATAAAATAGGCCAACTTATGTTTTTTTTTTATACGTGTATGAAAAGATAGTATACCATATAATGTAAAGACAGCACTACATTGTTTTACAGCATTTGAGCTTCACACTTGAAGCCCGATGTTAGAGGGAATCTGTGGAAACATGTTGAATGCCTGAGTGCCTTATCTTCACATCACTCTTTACAGCCTAAACTCTCTCTGCCCCCTCTTCCTCGCTGTCATCAGGTGCCAGAGCTAGCAGCTTTCTGGCTCCTGTCTTTCTTGTTCCAGCTGCCAGTGCTGCTGTTCTTCGTGACTGATGAAGGAATTATCATCCTGCCACTGGAGAGAGCTGTCCACTCCCTCTACCTCCTCTTCCTATTTGCAGAGATCCTGGCCTCTTTCCTGGCGCTGAGGACCATGACACGAAAACTCACCCTGCTCTTCCATCTGCGCCAGTTTGGCAAGGTGCAGAGCTTTCAGCATGCAGGGATGAGCCCTGTGTATGGGATTCCATACCATCGCAGCGTGCTGCCTGTTTCATCAGCACATGATATGTTCAACTAAAGCATAAATATCCTGTCTCAACTTGTATTGTTAGATATTTAAAATGTGAGACGTCTTTAGCATTCATATTTACTGTACTTTTGTTTACTTCCGGCCCCTACAACTGCATTTTGAGGTGTAAAGTAGCTATTGCTCCCAGAATACTTCTCAACAACTCCATGAGAATGAAAGCTAATGTTTTACCTGAAATTAATTGTGCTATTTTGAACATATAAATACAGCCATCATAATGGTGTCACTGTGTTTGTATGTGACTATACTGCATTTTGTTCAGGAGAACTCAAGATTCAAGGTTCAATGTTTCTTTATTGGTACCTAGAAAGGTAGATTTGTTGTGCAAAGAGGAGATTCAGCATTCCAATAGATACATACAATACAAATTCAAGGTTAAAAAGAGCAGACAGAACACATTAGAACCAATATCATTGATTATATCAGGTTATGGCAAAGTCCCACTCAAAACCTGTGTAGACATTCAGAGAAATTAGCAACCTCTTGAAAATGTAATTTTTTTTTGAGATTCCATTACTAATTCAGAAACAACCATAAGTCAGGAAGGCCATGAGCATTTTTTAAATCCTATATGAAGACATTTTACTGAGAATACTCTCAACTCTACAATCCTGCAACATATATTTTCATTTACACATAAACTTCTCATGACATTCCTACCTGATCGGTTTGTGCACTTTTGAAGTTAAGGACAAACCTGTCACAGTCCTACAGGGAAGTCGGCGAATATGTGAATGTACAGAAATTGTGCATGTTGGTGCTGAGAAGTCTGTATTACCATATAAACACTTACGGACTTAAGATTTGGACATCCATGATCACTAACGTCCTTAGTGGAAATGCATCTTAAACCCGGCATTCAGCTGATTTCTGATCCATTGAAAAATTGTGTGTGCATGGGAAATTGCTCTTAATGTGTACATCCCTCTAGTCTGGACAGCAACTCAAAATTTTGGAGAAGATTTTGGTAGCAGACTTGCGTTGTAGACAGACTATACATTATATTACGCAGGAACATGAGATACAACGTACACGTTGGATTGATAATCGAAACACTATCATTTATTTGTACATTGTTTACCTACGAGCAAATAAATAAAACAAAATGCAAAATTACGTAAAATTGCAACGTAACGCAAGGCAAGTTTGTCTATAGCACATTTAAACTGTAACACGAGATTAAAGAATTACTTTAGCTAAGGAACTTCTAGGATCCAAGGAGCATTTGAATGCAGGGAAAGTCTTCAAGTTTGAGTATGATTAGGCCAATCTGTTACATAATTTCTGGTATGACTTCCATCATGATGGTTGGTATATATAAAAGCTCTAGAAAAAAGCCCCTGACCAATTTCATTTTGAAATAAGCCAAATGTTGATGTTTTAAAAGAACATGTAAAACCATTTTAGCCACACTCTAAATGTCAAAACCTGATTCCATGTCTGCCAAACTGTCATGCAGTGACACCCCTTTTCACGGCAATGGAGCAAAGTACACCATTAAACAACAAAAATGGGCTCAGAATAAGAGTACAATTGCAGAAGATGCTTTTATCAGAGAGTGTTCAAGGCTTTTTTTTCTGTTGTGATGATGGATGATGAAGGCTGAGGTATTGGTGCAACAAAATTGTTTTCGTTGAGGCAGATTGAATTTTTTGCCCACGAGACAAGATTAGAGTTCAGGTGGAAAGGTTCTTAGGTTTTTTTGATGGAAACAATGAGAGACCCAGATTACATTTTCCCAATTGATCTTTAAGTCATTCCTACAGTGTATAATATTACTGATACTGTTTGATAAGTTGAAGAAGGAATTAAATTACTGATGCTTGTAAAGTTAGAGTTTAAAGATGACTGCTGCCGCAGAATTGTGTTAAATATTTATGACCACACAGTGGCAGTCAGCCACCAAAAGAGAGACGAGCAGAATCTGACAGTGCTGCAAAGTGCAATGAGAACAGATTATCATGCAGCACATGTCCTGCTCAGGAAAGCCTCTGGCAGCAGTATAAACGTTAGGCATGGACACACTTGAATATGATGAATTATTAGATAATCTATAACTCCAGCTTGTATCATGGAAATGGATTTCCTTTTTTTTGTTGCCACTTCTGTTGAATCAAAAATGTTGCATCTGTATGGATGACTCACTTGTTTTACAAGAAGCTCTCAGTCAGGACTTTGTGAGAAATTGTGAGTGTGGTGCAGTAAGTAGTGTCAACAAGCTGTTTATGTGAGAGACACAGTTTCAGTGATACAACATGCTTATTCCGCTCTACTTTACATTCACGAAACAACAAGCTGCAGAGAGAAGAATATGTGAAAACCTTCATAGTGCAGGATACAGTATGCCTACCAATGTATAATGAAGTGGGTGCTCAGAAGACCTCCTAAATGTACAGCCACATGTTGCTGCACAGACGAATTTCTTGACTTTTTTGTTTGTATCGTCATTTGTGTTCAGACTTGAAGAAAGGGCTAAACAAGTTTAGCTTTACTTGTTAAGCAAAGTAACAGCAAACACAAGAGAAGCCGAACATGATCCCTTAAAATTTTTTTTTTTTTTAAACTCCACATGCCTGAATCATATCTGCATGACCTCTTGGAGTGCATAAAACTGCATCCAGAGCTGATGATGGCACAGTCAGGTTTGGTGCTACTACAGCAGCATAGCATGAAAGAAACTAATGTAAACAATAGCAGATAGGCATTTCAGTAAACATTTCCATACGTTAAGGTCTGTGAGCAGTAAATGCCTGGTCAGGCAGGTACAGTTGCAACACCATATTCAAATGAGCACATGTATTTCAATATTTTTTTTTTTAAATGTTAAATGTTTAAGGCCTTGATACAATCATGCAAAAGCAAAACATATTTTCATCCAATAGTAACACTTTCGCTACTTCATATCTGCACATGCACTCACATAAGACAAAAATACATGTTTGACCACGTTCAAATCTGTTCTTTCTAACTTTGTTCCCTTCCCTTGTTAACACATAATGGGTTTCAAAGAGACCATTTATAATTTAAAAGAGAATGGGAGAGAAAAATAGCCTCCTCTGTCATCAGTACCTGTGTGTCCGATCAGTCATACAGCTGTTTGTTTGAACTTACTGATGTTTTCTCCTCCTCTCTTGTTCCTTGCTTATGTTTTCCTTTCATTTAATTTGATGTACGTTGCTTTGGATAAAAGTGTCAGCCAAATGAAATGTAGATTGTAGAAATGTAGAATTCCCCTCAGGTAATCACCTGACTTTGTTCACCTATCAGCCCAGATACACCACTACATTCATTAGCTCCTCCAAGTTTATATATTGAGGCTGAATTTCAGCTCAGCTCTGGCTTTCATTTTTAATCACCACAGTTCTCCTTGGAAAATGAACTTTAAATTGAAGATGAATGTCTTCTTTTTTCTGCCACATTAACTCTCAATTTGAAACAGATTTAAAACTGAATCTATTGTAGAACATTACACTCTATTATATCAGACTTCCAGCACATGACAGAAGAAGTGACTGTCTTTTCGACAAATGAAAACAGAGCTAAAGCTGTGCTCAAATGTCAGCTGTTGAAACCGGTGAAGTGCTCATGGAAAAGTCACTTTGAGCATGTTTTTTTTCCTCTTCAGCAAAGCCAAAGAGAAAATTAACAAAGACACGGTGAACAGAAGGGGAAAATGAATTTTTAAAAAAAAGCTGCAGAATCCTCCCAGCCTTCTCATTTGACAGTTGACAGCCATAAAAACGAGTAACAATTAATTGTATTGTCATGTATTGATTGGGTTTAAATGTTACTAAAGGCATGTATCATTTTCTCCTCTCTTTTACTGTTGTGTGGTGATATATAAATTCTATCAAAAGTTGAATAACACTCCTGGTGTGAAGCTTATATCTTTCTTGGAGTGACACTCGTCTGACATGCTCTATAATTTCAGTATTACTTTCACACTCATGCTCCCCATAGAGTACTGTTCACCAGGATGCTCTGACCCATTCAGCTCTCCCCCTGCATCCAGTTTTAACAAGTATGAACTCTATTAAGTTCTGGAGAGGAAGGAGATTAACAGCTGGGGGGTTGAGAAAGGGAATAGAAATCCCCCTTGGAGACACAGTGGTCACATCTGAAGCAGCTCCTCACACCTTTTGCCTCATCAAATTGCCTTTCTTTGGTGGGAGAATAATAGCCTGGGAGAGTCGGAACAAATGTTCTCTATCTCTCTAAACAGATTTCTTTTCCTCCTGTTTTTGAGCATCCTTTGAGCTCTGTGCCATTTCTGATCAAGTTTTCTTCTTCACGTCTTTGCGACAATACAGCTGCGTAGCGTGACGTCAGCCAGGCTTCAGTGAGTCTGTCGGCACCATAATAATGGTTGCGCGCACCTAGGAGGTAGTCACACAAAAAGTGAGTGACGAGGCTGTGCTGAGCATCGACAGAGAGCATTATCCAATACCTCATGGAGACGTCCTCTTGCTTTTTTTCGTAATCCCTCATGGTGAAGAGCTGACCAGCCCTGTAAAGAATCTTAGAAAAAATAATATTAGGTGGTAAAACAACAAAGAAAATCCAGCTTAACTCATAAATACATAATACAAATCTCTTACACGCACCACAACTACTTTAAAAGGGTTAGACGTCATATTTGTCTTGTTTAGTTTTGTATTTTTTATTTTGTTGTTTGAATTTTATTTCTGTTTAATTTGGTATTTTTCTTCCTTATGTGGTTTTCCCTTGAGTGTATCTTGCTTTTTTTTTCAATAAAGTCTTTAGTGGTTCCTGTTTCATTTTGTCATTTATTATCCTCATGTTTCTCTAGGTCCGCTTTGTTGTTACTGTTACATTTCTTGAGATTTCCCTGTGTGTCTTTCTGATGAACTTTTTTTTAACCTTTTATGCCTTTATTTGATAAGATAGTGGATAGAGTTGGAAATCAGGGAGAAAGAGACTGAAAGAATGACATGCAGGAAAGGAGCCCCAGTGAACCCAGGCCCCCTGCTTGGAGGGCTATAGCCTCTGTACATGAGGCACGACTTA